GTCCTAAACAGGGAGCATGTGTCATAATGTGTTGCCTCAATTCACATCTCAAACCTGGTTTGAAATGAGGTTTTTAGTTTCAGAAATCTCCATGCCGGCTTGCACCTGAGGCAGCTACCGCTTGGTAGGCGTGCGGCCGTTAATGTGTGAGCCAGACTCCCGCTCGCCAACGTCAAAGACTTGGCCGGCGACGAAAGGAACGATTGGGAGAAACGGATCTCTGCCTGGGTTGTTCGAAACCAATCCGCAAGATCCTTAGATATCCTTAGTGCGGGCCAAATGTTAACCATCAGGGGAACGCAGGTGTTGGTTCTTGTTGCCATTTGCCAGGACCCCATTTCGGGTGCCTAGGATTGGGCTTCCAGAAAGGCTTTAAAGCCTGGGACAGGCGAGGTGGTTTTTGGCAAATGATTCCAGGATAGACTTCCCGGCAACATTGAACACGAAATGGGGTCCCCCCAAAAAGGAGTTTCCTTTAAAACGGATGGCTGTCTGAGGTCCATGTTATTTGCAAGAGGGTACTGCAACTGCAAATCGTCCAACTCATGCAGCATCCGACAACCATGTCGCGGTCCATGTAGCCTGCGCTGGCTACGTGCCATGCAAACGCATGCTGATGAACGTCTACGTCGGTGGTGTCGTCTTCATTTTGGTTTTAGGGGGGGCAAAAAGAAAAGCCACCGATCTTTGGGTCCACCAATTTGAGTTTGACACACCCATGTGTTGCAGGGCTTGCATCCAGATTTGCATTTGACGAATCCACGCGCACGCCTTAGAGCCATTGATGCTATCAACTCATCAAGTCCAAGCATGTGTTGGTCTAAAACTCACTGCCAGGGATGACAGGCGACAGGTTGGATTGCCGGGCAGAACATGGTAGGCTGCTTGTGTGGTTTGACGGATGCACAAATCCGCTTCACTTGTCACAGCGCAGGCATCCCCTGTGGCGTCATAAAGTAGTCGTATAGAGTCTAGGTTTAGCAGTAATGCCCTTCTCCACCCCTTTTTTGGGGGAGGGTTCCCCTACTAAAATCGACTACAGAAAAACGAGGGCACCCTTATTCTAACCTCAAACTACTGGAGGACCTAGGAGTTAACGTCCTCACAACCGGCACCTGCGCCCCGACAGCGATGGAGCTGGCTCCTGCGCCCAGCCACGCCTGGCCGGTTCGAGGAGCCAGGCGGGCGCTTGGGCCTTGACCGAGTGCCAAGACTGGGCGGTGAAATGAGTGTTTTGGGTTCGGACCTTTTTTGCCGGGTCTCCTCCAAAAACTATTCTGTTAGGGGAGACTCAATGTAGAGTGCTGGATTTTTGCCACAGAGGACTTGCCATTCTCACGTCCTGAGCTGCTGGAATTTAACTTTTGGGGGGTTCTTGGAGCATTGGAGTGTTCTCGCCTCCTGAGTGACTGGACTGAAGAGTCACTGTTTGGAGACTTGGGCCATTTTAGTGGCATACAGAAAGTTTGCACTTTATTTTGGGCGAAAGTGAGGTGTGCCATCGCATGAACTGGGAGCGTTTGCTTACATTACTTTGTAAAAGCAGCTAGAAGTTTTGTGAGTCGGGAGGCGGGCGTTTCAGCTCGCAACACTTGGGGGTTACAAGCGGACAGGCTAAGAGGCGGCATCATAGGGCTGAGCAGTTGCAACGCTTTGGAATTGCCCTCCGATTCAAAACAAATGGTTGGCGCACATGAGTTATGAATCCCCATTTACATGACGAAAACTTATGGCTATGTGGTTGGACTTTTGGACTTTAACTTGTTGGGAAACAGTGGATTTTCCCAATTGGGCCCACTAAAGCTAAGCTTTTTGCAGCGGGGTCAGCAGCAACCAAGAAACGTCCAGCCCTCGGCCCGTAGGTGGCGTGCGCCGGAGAGGCGCTGGCTGCCCTTGCCCGCCCTGGCGGCGCTGACGCACAGGCGTGATTTGGGAGATTTCAGTTCTGAAGCTGCATGAGCAAGATGTCCCGACGGGGACGCAAATTGAAAGGGGGAGGTTAATCGGTCTGCCCCCCCCCAAAAAAAAATCCGCTCTTCCGGTTTTGTTTGTCTATTTGTTTTTGTTTGCCGTGGAGCTCTTGAGATTCATCACAAATTGCATCATACTATGACCTGTGGTCTGAATGGCCGAAGCGCGGACGAGCCCCACGCCCCCAGCGTCTTCAGGCTGACGGCCTCCCTAAGCGATCATGCCTGGAGAGCTCAGACATGGCTCAGGTAGCCCTTAGTCGCTGGTTTGGCGGATTTGAACCGTTCAATACTGCCTGTAGAGGGTTTCAATGGCCAACCCCTCCATTTCACCACCCAACCACCGGGCTCCAACCAACCAATTGGAGGGAAGCCGTGTGAAAATGTCCACGGCCAAGGCGCCTCGGCACCGCTCCAGGTTTCGGGGTGACTTCATCGCCAGGCCTCGACTCAGCGGGCGGCCCGGAAGGAGATGCAGGCCCGGGGGCGTCGCTTGGCTTCGAATCCATCCGCAAGAATGGCCTGGCCCAAGGGTCGTGGGGTGAGCCACGTCCTCAAAACCCGGGTATGTGAAGGTAAGTATGTTACTTCCGTTCACATGGCTCTGGGTGCACCATTTTGTTGGGTCATCTTGGTTTACAGCTTGGTCGCCCTGCCCTTCCAGAACATGGTTCTGGGTGCACCAGTTGTTTGGTTTTGGGCCTTCACAGGTTTGACTTTGCCTCAGGCTTGTGGTTTTCGGCGTGGCCAAGTTGCCAGGAGGGCCAGCGAGTCCCTCGCAACGCTGAAGACCTTGGCGAGCCAGGACGGGTGTGCGTTCTGCCCGCTTGGCAGTACCCAGTTGGGCCACTGCCAACATGAATTTGGACGTCCATGCTTTTGGTTCAAGCCTTTGGACACTAGGACCTCCAACACTCTAGATTAAAGGTCTTCAAAGCAATCTAAGGAGCAAATCCAAGAATCTGATCTTTGGCCCTGCTTGAGTCGGCCAGGACGTCAATGCGGCAGAGGCGCTCTTGGAGAAGATGCTCCTTCAGCAGCTGCAGCCCAGCGCCGCGCACTTCGTGGCGGCGGTGAACATGTTCGCCAGAAGCGGAGCCTTCAGCTTCAAGAAAAAGACCTGTGCCGCAACATGGGTGGTGTTCCTTTTGGTTTGCTTTGGTGAGCCACCAGAAAGGGTTCCCTCAAAAACAGACGACATTTCCTTTTCTTGGTTCAGTCTCCGCGCCCACTGGCATGGTTTGTTGGGTTCTTGCTCCTTTCACCCGAACTGACGAAAATCTGTCAGCTTTTCTGTGAGTGGACAAGTGAACGTCCAGTACAGCTATAAACTAGTCATGGGCATAGCCCACTTTGGTGGCAGAGCAGGGACGATGACTTGGCTTCCCGGAAGCATGTAGTTACTGCAATACTGTGTATGGGCGAAATCCTGCATCGCTTTGAAACCATAAGAAACCATTGTTTGCAAGTTTTTTAAGCGGGATCATCCAAAACCATGGTTTCTGAACGGTGGTGCCTAAAAGGATTTCCAACCATCCACTGTATGGATAATCTGCGCTTGGGGGGGGGGGTGTTGCGAAGGTTCCTGTTGGGAAAAACTAGTTTTGCCAGTTTCGCTTGCAAGTTGATGGGTTGCTGGGTTGCTGGGTTGCTAGGTTGGTGGGTGGGTTGCTGGGTTGCCGGGTTGCCGGGTTGGTTGGTTGGATGGTTGGTTGGTTGCTTGGTTGCTTGGTAGTTTGGTTGCGTGGTTGCTTGGTTGCTTGTTTTCACTTGGCTCGCTGTATTTTTGTTTGCGGTACTCAGGCAACTAGGAATGCCTCGTGGCCTGCATAAGGAAGCATTGTCACACAACTAAGTTGCAGTGGCGTCACTTGTGGAACGTGTGTGGCTGAAAGGTACGTGGACATGGAGAACGAAGGAAACTCCCCCTCAAACAATTGAAGGGGAGTCAGCAGGGAGAACTTGCACCGATTCGGTTCTCAAGCTCGATCGTCCAACATGGCCATTTTCGAGCATGAGGTTTCAACAGATATCCTGCATCCGTTTCCAGAAATGCTAGTGGTTGTCAACTTGCTTTGTACCTGTACTGGCCCGTATTGCATCCCGTTTGTTCTTTCTTGAGCTTGGGGCAATGCAAAATGTTTGGAGCACCCTTCTGTATTGTGCACCCTTTTGGCTCAAAAGGCTTCCACCCCCGGTGCTGGATCGGATTCTTAGCATTTGGTGCATTCGAGTGGTAGGGCTTAGCAACAGCTCAGAATTACACAGACGATGGCATCCTATAATCTCCCATCTATGAATCCGGCCAAATGTCTTAAAGAGAATGATTGCTTTGGTTTGTAGATTCAGTTTGTAGATTTAGATGAAGTGCCCAAAACACGTTGTAGCGTTGCCTCAACCAGCGCAGTTCTAGTAAGTTGGCCCTTAGCCCTTAGCAACGCTCAGCGCTCATGAGTTCCCACATTTGGGTCTCTCGTTTTGAAGGTAGCCCAAAGGAAACCCACCATAGCTGTGGGTTCCACAAAAAAAAACGACGCGCCCATCTGGCTGGGCCTTCTGGAACTGATTGATTGAGTTGAAAAACTTCCGCAAGACGCGTGCAATTGGTGCAGACTGCCACTCTGGTTGAACTCGTTGGCTGCAACTAAGCCATGGCTTCAACTAAAGTGCTAACAGATGGTTGCCTGTGCGTTTATTTTGTATTATCTTTGTTTGTCTTTTTGTTTGTTTTTGTCTTTTTGTTTGTCTAATTTGCCGGTTTGGCTGAGGATGCGCGCAGCAGTCAGACTCCTGGTTCCAGCGGATGTCGCAGCACGTGTCTCCAGATCTTTTTGCCTACAGCGCTGTGATCAATGCCCACGCTCGGGCCGGTGATGTTGAAAGAGCAGAAGCACGATTTGAGGAAGCATCGAATTGGGCCATATTGAAGCGCTTGGGGCGCTTGGGTGGGGGATCGGAGGAGGAGATGTCACTCAAGCAAGCAGCCATTAGAGTTGCTTGTTTCCCACACTTCCCCCTGCATAGTGGCAAGGAGCAAGACCATCGATCAAACAGGTGTGCCCTGGAGTTTGTTGCGCACATGGCCACTTATGATCGATCAGTCGTCAGGCCTTTAGTTCTTAGAACATGTGGCCAGTCCGCATCAAGTAGTAAGAACTACTTCGCAGTTTGGGAGTTTGCAAGCCCAAAGGCCATGCGCGAGACAGCCCCCCTGCATCCGGTGGGCATCGGTTTTGCTCACTTCATCTGACTTCAACGCGAAATGGGACGATGCAATCCACGTGGCCGTTCGGATCTGCCAGCCCAAGGTGTCTTTGCATATGCCCCATTTTATATCACAGTCTAACTCTAGAAACCAGTTTGGAAGCCTTTTTTGTGGCTGTCCCCTTCCCCTGTGTGGGCTCTTTGTTCGTTATATTTCAGTACTTTTTTTGTTGATCTGGTGAAGCCACCGATTCGCCACATCCAACCCGTTTTCTAGAGTCTAGCAGTGGAAGCTAGTCGCCCAGCTTCTGAAATGTTGAGGCCAAAGGCTGAATGTATATACCCGTAAAAGAAACCCTGGTATGAGCCCCTTTTTAATGGGTTAGTGAACCGTTGGTTATGGGAAATCAGCCGGCTTGTAGGGTCCATCATGGCCATGGGTTCATGTATGGACCTATACGCTTGGTGTTTCCCAGCCATCCGGTTCCTCAGCTTCTTATTTGTTTGGTGGGTTCAGTGGTTGGTTCAAAACCAATGGTACCAATTTGGGATGGGTGCACCACCCTTTGGGATGTTCACTGGGGGAGAACCGGGGGCTTTGACCCCTGGCCATACGCACCTAACAAGCGGCCGCACGGAGGAGCTGCGGAAGGCGCGGCTGGAGCCCGACGCGGTGTGCTTCTCCAGCGTCCTCAACGCCGCGGCGCAGAGGGGCGACCGAAAGCGGGCAGAGGGATGGCTGCGAGACATGGCGCAGGCGCAGGGATACACATGGTTGTCGGGAAACATTTTACAGCATTTGAATTGTTGCTCCCCTCCCAACGTCAACCAAGTAGAGAGAACAGCTGGGGAGGGCGTTTTTGTAAGGGAACCTGTTTGGGGGTGTTTCTTTTTTAGGAAAATATCAGGAAAATCACCATTTTGGGGATCCCCTAGCACCAAGTAGCATGGGTTTGTACGTAGGCTCCTGTTTAACTCATGATTTCGAAAATTAGTTCAATTTGAGTTTCCGCTACTGAAATGCAAGATATGTATGCCACATTTCTGGAAGCAAAGATTTGAACTGATAATCAACAGACGACTGACTCGCTCGTAGAAAGGGGCTTTTTGCACTTCCACGTTAGGGAGGGTGGAAAGGACAGCTCGGGAGAGGTCGTTTTTCTTAGGAGAGCCTTTTTTGGGGTTGGGGTTTGGGAAACTGATCATGTGCTTTGCATGCTCGAAGGTGATCGTTGCGCCAGCCAACCTAGGGATAAAGAAAATAGATGGGGAGGTGGCTTTTTGTAAGGGAACCTGTTTGGGGGTGTTTCTTTTTTAGGAAAACCTCATAAAACATCCCCTAATTTTGAGACACCCCCAGTTCCAGAAGGTTCAAATTCGAAATTCGGTCATTGAGCGTTGCATTCTGGCTGTTGCTCACGGAAAGTGGGCTTTGGCGGGCGTTTGCAAGATGATGTGGTTCCATTGGCTCAAAGACAGCTTTGTCCAGTCCTCAAGGGTAAAAGACAACGGGATAATTCGGGATAATCATGCGCTTTGCATGTTCGAAGAAACAAGTACTCCCACTCTCGCTCGGTCTCAGAGCAATGGACGCAGCTGCGCTCTATTTCCGCCTGAAGTCACACGCCAGGCTCGGGTGGCGGCCAACGAAGTCACCTTTGGCAGCCTCATCAACGCTTGCGCGCAGGGCGGCGATGCGGAGGGCGCCGAGGGCTATTTCGAGAAGATGCAGTCCGACGCTCGGCAGAAGAATCGACCTGGGCCGCGCGACGGTTTTCATTTGGGGCGTGGTTGTTGCCAATTGCACCCCAACCCTCCCCCGCAAAGCATGGCTCGCATCGCCAAGCCTGCTTCATGGGTGTTTGGCGTTCATGATGTCAATGCTTTGCCATTTGGTCCTTTTTGTTGATGTGGCTTGGCCAATAATGGGGGGAAGAAGGCTCTCCAGCACACAAGAGGTTCAGCGTCAGTTTGGTGTGCTATGGGGTGGCCAGTCCAGAATCTCATCCCTGTCGGAGGCAACCCTCCTTTGCATTGCCTTGGGCATGGTTGCCCCTAAGCTTCTCTTCTGCCCTAAGCTTCTCTTCTGGAGCTTCCTTCCTTGAGAAGCCCTTCCGCCCAGCGCAAAAAATCCAGTAGCCCATGGGACTTCTACTGCGCTGGGGCTTTGCGGTTTCACGTTTCAGCGAAGGGTTGCTCCGAGCCTTACGGTGAAACCTCAAGGCTTGGCACATTCGGTGTTCCAATGGCTCCGAATCTTTGGACTTGAACTGTTTGGTTGAAACAGGCCGGATTTTCCGAATTGGACCCAGACCCAGGAAAAGTTGAAATCAGCTTTGAGCACAGGATTTTCCGAATCGGACCCAGGAATCGTCAAAGTCAACTTTTGCAGAGGGGTCGTTGCAGCAACAGTTTAGATCTATTCAGCCCTTTGTAAGCCCAGAAACGGCGTGCTATCATTAAATGGACTTCCCACAGGTCCACCGGATTTCTGGTTCCAAACGATTCCATCTAGATCTAATCAGCAATCCATGTGCTTAAGATTGCTTAAACATGTTTTTGTATGTCCCCTGTTGGTTTTAGGAACCTATCACTACTGGAGCCGTTTTTCCTATTTTTTCCAGGGGCGAAAACGCAAATGGAGGCAATTGCAACCCCCCAATCCGTGCCAATCGGCTCGCATGGAGTTTCGTTTGTTGGATGTTAGGGCTTTAACTTTTTGCCAACCATGGGTTTTCCATTAAACCGCTAAACGTTTAACACTCTTGGCAGCGGAGCAGATTTCGCCGCCGAGTTTTGTTTTCGAGCAAGGAGCGGCTGCGGCCCAACGGCGTCATCTACTGCAGCCTGGTCAAGGCGAACCGACTTCGCCCCGAGGCGGCGGAAACGTGGCTTCAGCCCGGGAGCCCAGAGTATAATGAACCTTTTGTCGGGCGCGGGAGGGCCTGGAGGATTTGGGCTGAATGAGACCCCAAAGGCCGAAACCCTGGTGGTGTTGTCTTTTTTGTTGTTTGCTTTTTGGGGTGGGTTTAAAAGGAAGCCAAAAGGAAGCCAAAAGGAAAGCCACCATGTTTTGGAGGGGTCTCCTTGTTTGAGACAAACCCTGGTGTTGAAGCAGAGCTGGATTGCTTTTGATTAGGTGACTCGGTGGTTATGAACCCGTTCATTGTTGGTTATTCGCAGCACTAGCTTTCTCCGAAGGAGTCCAAAGTGGGCATGTGGATGCGTTTCGATTAGTGGCTGGAAGGTCCCAAGTGTGCGCATAACTGCCATGTTTGTGGATTTGTGTTTGTGTTTGTCTGGTTGTTTCTTACGTCTGATTCCCTGGCTGCTTGGTTTGGCTGGCTGCATAGATATCATTCATCACCAGCCTAGGGCTGCATATAGGCTCTGGCTTGGTGGCAGTTGTGTGTTGTGGCTGGTCGTTTTGGGGTTTAGCTGGGATCTCAATGGGGGGGGGGTTGGGTTGGGGGCTCAGGGCTGGCGGGTTTCACAGTGGCTTGAGAGATACGGTTAGAGTTTTGTCTTGATTGCTGTTGGGTTGGATCTTTAGACTTTAACTTTTTGGGTTTTCCACTAAACCCCCAAAAAGTTAAACCTTTTGCAGGGGGTTCAACAGCAACCAAGTTGTGCTGATTCGGCCGTTGCCATATTTTAGGGTTAGTTGGATAGAACTAGGCAACGGTTTAGAAGTGTGTTCATTCGTGTTTATTCCATTTACCATCTATGTTTGCAACAGGCAACTTACGAGCGTTACCCCAAAACCAATCCCAAACCAGCCCGAAACTCGATCACAGCCAGTGCTCAATCCGGGCACCACCAACCAGCTCCACACCAACCCTAAACCGTCCAAAGTCAACCCTAAACCCACCCAACCAACCACTGCCGTCTACGCTAGCCAAAAATCCACCCCAATTAGACCAGCCCTGGCCCAGTTCTTTCCAGCACGGTCTCATAAGCTTTGGTCGATCGATTTCCTTCCTTGCGTTGCGAGGTGAGCCGCAATCAAAGCCCGGGTAGAAGAAGCTTGGTAATGGACAATCCCAACCATAAATAGCTGCGGCTGCCTTCTTCATTCTTGACATGGTTCTGGGCTTGGACCATATCAATACCGGGGTTTGATTATGACTCAGGCACTTCCCTGCGTTGGCCCTCCGGCTTCCGACCAAGGCGTCTGAGGCAGTCGGGGCTCCAAGTGCCGGTGGCAGCCTTCAACAGCGCCATCAACGCCTGCGCCGAATCTGGGGACATGGATCGGGCGGAGCGGCTCCATGGGCAACTGCAGCTCACCGAAAAAGACCGAGCGATCTGAGCTTTTGGCCTCCCCCTTTTTGAGCTTTTCGCCGTTTTTAGTAGTGGCCCCAAAAAGTGGTTGGTCCCATTGCTGCTCATGGCCCAAAAGGCAATCACCCTGTATTTCTGGGTCCATGTGCGCAACTGAGGCAGCAGAGCAAAGTGAGGCCGACTTTGGCCGCTGGGATGCGGGGGATGTGGGGAAACCGAAGCTCATGTGGGTGTGACGGATGCTGATGCTAGCATGTTCCGTGGGAATGGTGTAGTGGACAACTTCAACCCCCGTTTGGCAGCGAGAGGGAAAAAAGAGGGAGAAAGATAGAGAGACAGAGAGAGAAGAAAACGAGAGCGAGAGAGAGAAACACAGAAAGAGACTGAAAAAAAGAGAGGGAGAGAGACAAAAGAGAGAGAGAGAGAGGGAGAAAATAGGATAGAGAGAGAGAGAGAGAAAAAGAGATAGAGAATAATAGAGAGAGAGAGAGAAAAGAGAGAGAGAGAGAGAGAAAACGAGATAGAGAATAATAGAGAGAGAGGGAGAGAGAGAGAGAGAGAGAAAACAGAGAGAGAGAGAGAGAGAGACAAAGAGAGAGAGAAAGAGAGAGAAAGAGAGAGAAAGAGAGAGAAAGAGAGAGAAAGAGAGAGAAAGAGAGACAAAGAGAGAGAAAGAGAGAGAAAGAGAGAGAAAGAGAGAGAAAGAGAGAGAAAGAGAGAGAAAGAGAGAGAAAGAGAGAAAGAGAGAAAGAGAGAAAGAGAGAAAGAGAGAGAGAGAGAGAGAGCGAGAAAAAGAGAGAGAGAGAGAGGGAACGAAAAGAAAGAGAGAGAGAGAGAGAGAGAGCGAAGAGAGAGAGAGAGAGAGAGAGAGAGAGAGAGAAAGAAAGAAAGAAATAAAAGGAGAGAGAGAGAGAGAGCGAAGAGAGAGAGAGAGGGAGAGAGAGAGAAAGAAAGAAAGAAAGAAAGAAAGAAAGAAAGAAAGAAAGAAAGAAAGAGAGAGAGAGAGAGAGAGAGAGAGAACGAGAGAGAGACAGAGAGAGACAAAGAGAGAGAAAGAGAGGAGCTTGAGAACAGCTGAAGTTGCAGCAGGGCGGCAACACGAATCGAGCCAGGGCAGCTCCAGATTGCCCTCAAGAAGCAAAACGACAGCAAATCTACAAATAGAGCGAAGGCCTTTGCTAGTTGAAACGCGCTTGGGGTGCATTGCACGCTTTGCACGGTTTGGAGGTTGTCCCGAAGCCAAGTCTTGTTTTTGGCTGACAACCAGGTCACCTACAACAGCCTCATCAAAGCATGCGCGAGCGACATGACGCGTGCGGAGCAGTGGCTGGACAGAATGCAGCTGTCTAAGTTGGCGCCTGACGAGGCCTCTCTGCGTGGTTCTGGGTGGGTAGGCACCAGTCCCTTCCCCCGGAAAATGTAGGTGTTTGTTTTAGGATGGTGGGTTTCATGTTCATTCCCGTTACAACCACAAAACAAGCGGTGCCCTCAAATCACCCACATGGTTAAATTACCTGGTACCCATCATGCATTTAGGCCTTTCTATATTGCAGGGACGGATTCCTCAGGTATACATGGCACGGGGGTCAGATTGAGCGAGGCAGCGGTTGCTGCAAACATCAAGGATCTTCCTGTGAAACAGCGCGCCACTACATCTATGAATCGATGGAGTTGAAAAAAGCGGTGACACAAGTTGCTACAGGTCTTCTTTTTTTCCTTTCTTGTCCTTGGTAGGGCAGCACAGGTGCTCTCTTGCACAAAGTGTGGTGTTCTTTTGGCCTTGCTTCAACGCAGCTGAGTGCCAAGTCCGGAAAACTGCCCAATTCCATGAATTCGACAAAGATGTCCTTCGCACCCTTGCCGCAGGGTCCCAAGACCTCATGTTTTTGGAGTCAAAGGCCTTCATGTTTGTCTTGGGCTCCTGGGGTTCAAGTACCCCTTCATTGGTTCGGATTGGTTTGGGGTTTTGAAGCCCTGAATCTAGAGGGCAAATGGGAAGCCACCGCCCCATTTCACCATCCACCGAACAACAAACCACCAAACCACGGTTGTTGTTGGGAAGCATGTTTTTTGCTTATTGTGGTTTAGTGGTGCAAATCCAACCACTGAACTGCTAAAATTCGAGGATTTTTACCCCCCGTCAAACCACCAAACAAGGGGAAGTCTGCTAAAATTCGAGATTTGCTGCTCCCCTTCCAACCAAGAAACAAGGGGTTTAGTGGTTGAAATCCAACCACTTAACTGCCGAAATTTGAGAACTGTTGCTTCCAACGTCAACCAAAGGGGAAGCCGACGACGCAGGTCACCTTCAACAGCCTCCTCCGCGGCTGCGCGCAGCGCGGGGACGTGAAGAGCTGCGAGGCGTGGCTGCGGCGGATGGAGCGCAGCGGGGTGAGCCCGGACGCCGTGACCTACAACACCTTGCGCGCGGCCTGCTCCAGGACTGAGAAGTCGTGAGGGGTTGGGGGGGGGGGGGATGGGTGGGTGGCTGGCTGGCTGGTTGCTTGCTTGGTTGCTTGCTTGGTTGCTTGGTTGCTTGCTTGGTTGCTTGCTTGGTGGTTGGGGGGTTTCGGTAGACACCAGAATTCGCCGGGGGTTGTGTCCAACCACTTTAAAATTCATACCCACATCATTTTGCAGAGGTTCGCCCAAAATGGCCAAATACCTGTTGCAAGTTGGGAACTCCAGCTGGCATGGAGTGGTAAATTCGCCTGGCCGCGGACATGCTCACCTTGCATTGAACCGTCTCGGGTTTGAATTTCTGCGGATGTTTTTTTTCGAGATTCATTTGGCTGTGGGTCAAAACCAATGGGATCCCATTTTGGGGTAGGTGAATGCACCACCCATTTTAGAACCTATTTTAGTGGTTGGATTGAATCGGGATGTTCATTGGGGGATAAGCGGTTTGGATTTTGACCCATGGCCATTTTGGGCTCATGCCACCCCTGCCACCCGTTTCCGGTGACCTGCGACCCATCGAACGGACGGCTGCAGGATGGGGGACTTCGAGGGCGCGGAGCGGTGGCTGCAGGCGATGGAGGCGTCGGAGCGCAGGGCCGTCAGGCAGAAGCTGAGCCTTGAGGAGGCGTCAAGCTGCGGAAACCGGCGATTTGGGGGGGGGGGGGGGGGGGGGGGGGAAGAGGGGGGAGTTAACTGCAGTTAACTATAGAATTAAACCGGCCACCCAGGTGTTCCGGTGTTCTTTTTGTAGCCTGTTTTTTTGGAAGCGGGGTGGTATTGAAATCAGATTAAAAATTGCACATTTTTCCGCATTGAAATGATCTCCACCAAAGGATCTGAATTCAGATCCCCGTGTGTCCCGGTTTAACCGAGGGGACGAATGACGGGGCAAGTCCCAACATCAATTGCAACCCCGGGAAATCCATTGAAATCCGATGGACACGTGTTACCTGTTGCCAGCTAGGTGCAAAACCTGACCATGCTGACAAAGATTTGTCCTGGCAACAAAGCTCAGCAAAAAAGTCAAACTGACTGCCTACGCAAGTGCGACCTTAGCGAGAAGAAACCCTTCCAAGCATCCTGCTACTCAAAGCCAGAATATTCGCGATAAAACGCTTTGTCACGTGGTTTTTCGCACGGGAGGGGCTCGAGCTCAGGCCTCGTAGAGTCCACAAACACGTGCACCGCCTAGCAAAGCCTGACACGACTAATGTCATTTTGGGCGTTCAATGTTTTATTTGCACCATCTTTGGGAGAACTTGTTGCTCAACAGACCGAGCCAGGGCAGCGCGCTTGCCAGAATGAGATTGCGAGGCATGGAGCCTCACTTCCGTGCCTGGACTTTACCCTCCCACCAATCCACCTGGATCCTAACCAGGGAATCCTGGAAGACCATTTTCCTTTTAAAGGGACGCCCGAACGTCTGGTTCCACGTTGTTTTGGGATGGTAAACTGTTGGGAAAGACAATTTTAGTGGCAAAAGCCGTGTTTTCGTGGTTGTTTGAATGCCCATTCTCCCGTTGGGTCACCTTTTTTCGGGGCCCCAAACTCCGCTCGAGGGATCGGAAGTGAGCAGCGGACGCCTTGAAGCCCGGCCAGGCGGACCCCTTCTTGAAGAGCGGCGGGGTCCTGAAGAAGGCCTTGTACCGCTTCCGCTCGCAGGGGGACGCCGCCATCGCGGAGCGCCTCAGCCGCAAAAAACAACCCTCCCGATGCGCGCTGCGCCGCTCTTTTTTTTCTTTCGGGGCAAATGTGGGGCGCCCAAAATTTGTCTGCTTTGGTCGTCAATGTGCAGCGGTTCAAAGGGGCACCAAAGTGAAACCATGCGTTTCCTGCATGCTTGCCTGCCTTCTTGGTTGGGTACTCCAAAATCAGGGGGGCCCCGGACTTGCACATACTTGTAGGTTCCCCATGTTGAAAGGGAGCAACCATGAAAAGCACAGAGCCAACAGATGATGCAAGCAGCACACTGGGGGAAGCAAGGTCCATGGCTTCCAAATCCGCTTCCTGTCACTGAAGACCATTGAAGACGCCGTTGAACCAGACCAAGACAAGCAAGCTCCTTAAGCCAAGCCCATAGGTCAAAGTTGCCGCCAGCTTTCAACGCCCGATCCAAAAGGGGAAAGACATCTGAGGAATGGCCGAAAGCAAACAACCGCCTATGGTCAATTTGGGGCTCCGGTCATGGGAGGTGTCTTTTTGGAGGGGGTCTGTTTCAAAGGGAAGCCAAGCAAGAACCGAAGTCATTTTGGGGGTCCAACCTTGAAAGACTGTTTTAAGGACAAGCCAAAGGAAAGCCTCTTCTTCTTTTTTTTTGGAGGGGGGGTCCGACCCAACAAGGCGGCTTTTAGCGGGGAAGCCAAAGGAGAACCCACCCACTTGGGATCCGCTGAAAAAGACAGACCAGAAATAGGTGTCCTTAGGTGAGTTTTGCTAAGAATAGATGGGCAAGCCACTGGTTTAGATGGGGGTTATTCCATCTATTTTTCCAAAAGGCCACCTATGCCTGAAGTTCAGAAATCACACGGGCTGGCCCTCATGGTAGATCCCCACCCCCTTAAAAATGGAATTGGGGGAGGGGGGCGACCCCTGGAGTTCCATTTGTGGGGAAGACGAGATAAATGGAATTGCGGGACCCCCCACCCCCCTCCCCCTTAAGGTAGGGGGGATCATGGTAGAAGCTTCAGGCACTTGGAGCTGGCCTTGGAGTACCAGTGGGTCTACGGCTATCCTCGGCTTCCGCCGGAAGAGCCGCCCAGCTGAGACCATACCGACGGAGTGGATTCTCAGATTCGTTGGATTTTTGAAGAAAAATAGGGGAGGGGGTGCTAAATTGGGATTTCTGGTACTTGAAGGTGAAGAAGTCGGAAAAGAAGTGGATCCCATTCCTGGCATCAGAATGTGTCCTTTGGCTTCTAGGTGGGTTTCAGGGGCCCTGCAAAACATGGGCAGTTCCAAGTAAAACCGTTGCCTGGGTGCTCCTGAAAACACAGCAACGACAGGAACATGTGCTTTGGACACAGCATGCCCTACATATGAGCCCCATTGCAAATGTAGAATTACTTTTCTGCAATGATCACTGAAAGCTTTTTCTGAGGGTTCAATCACCCCTGATTCAAGTCCGACGACCGCATGTCAGGTCACAGCTGACGCATGGTGCCTTCAAGTACATGGCTGGCATGCAGGCCATGACCGCGCGAGAGCTTCTCAAAGTCACCAGCGGCCCCTTGCAATCACATCCGGACGAAGCGGACGAGTGAGCTCTCGGTGTCTCACTTGCCCACAGCGAATTGACCGATCGATCTGACCTTTTGGTTTGCCCTTTTTGGCGTTTCCGTTTTAGTCATGGCCCCAAAAGGTTCACCTTCTAGGTCCCCCAGTGCCCTTTTCCCGTTTTTAGGGGAGGGTTCCCCTACTAAACTAGACTACAAAACAAGGGTACCCTTATTCTAACCTCTCTACTAGAGGACCTAGCCTTGTATTTCTGGGTCCCTCGGGCAATTGAGGTTGTCACCCTTCTGAGAGGCGGCGCTGCGTTTAGTTTGTTGAGATGGTGCAAACTAGCGGTTCATCACAAGTTCGCGTATTGCCACGTCCCGACTTTGATTCCGAAAGTTCGACGGGATGTTCAAAGAAGCGCTTTGTGCGAAGCAGGTTGCATTTTTGTCGCAAGTCTCCGAGTTGCATTTGCAGGGATGGCCGTCTCCTCCCTCGCAATTGTTCAGCGTCGAGTTCGGAGAGTTTGTTTCCTTTTGCAAGCTCCAAGCCAAGCCAAACCATCCATGCGGGCTAAGGTTCATGGCAGGAAATATGAGAATTGAAGGAATTAAACAACAAAGCCCAGTTTTCGCGCGACTCCTGGAGGGCGTTGTTTTTCTTTTAATGGACGGGAAAGCTCCCCGCATCGCATCCAAGGAGACGTCTTGGACCCCTTTTGCGGCTCCGGCACGGTGCTCATCGAGGCCGCGCGACTGCGGGCCGCGGTTCGCCGCCGCAATCTTCTTGGCGCGGCCCGCATCCGAGGATCCATCAAAAGGAGACTTGATGGAGAAAACACGAATGTTTGATGGGTTTCAACGAGCATGATGTCGGTTGGGAGGCGGAGGCGCAGATGGAAATGGTTGATTGAGATTTGGCCGCTATGATCCTGTGCTGCAGTCATGTATCTATTCGTAGCCTTGAGCCCCGCACATGTGGCGCTGTTGCCACCCGATGCTGACGAGAATTTCGCAGATGTGCTCTGGTCAAAGAAACTGGAGCTAGGGTGGACATGAACCCGTCCATGCTAAGGTGCTTTTGGGTTTTGCGGGAACCTCCAGGTTCAGAGCAAAGGGACCTTGCCTGTCCATTCCAAGCCAACCTAAAACCCATTCGCGACAAACATGGAAGTGCGCAGTTTCCTCCCATTTCGACCAATTTCAACAGGGTTCTGTGCCCCAACCCCAGGTGTTTCTCAAAATTCCAGCCATGTTCTTTGCCGCCCTTCTTCTGGGGCATATCCCCAGCCCCGAAAAGGAATTGGGGTATTTTGCCAGGCCCCCACCCCACCCCCAGCCCCGAGCCCCCAGCCCACCCCCGCAGGCGGCGGTGGCCGGGCGCCGCGCGCACGGCTGCGACGCCTCGCCCCTGGCGGCCTTCGTGGCCCGGCGCCACACGGACCGCGCCACGCCGCTGGGGCCCTTGGTGGCCAAGGCCGAGGCGCGGGGCGAAGTTGGCGACGAAGTGGCGCCGAAGTGGTTGGCGACGGGTTGGCGGCGTTTTGGTGCCAAGAAATGAGAAAGAAACTCGGCCCCCCAGCAATTGGTGCCCTTCTCTACCCCTCTTTTTTGGTTGGGAGGGTTATCCTACTAAAATAAACTACAGAAAAAAAGGGGTGCCCTTATTGGGGGACCTAGGAATTGGAATGAACCCAAACTAAACCATACCACTCGGCGGTTTCCTTTATTGGGGAATCCCAAAACGGTTCATTCCAACTCATTCCAACTGAGCACCAGCAAGAAACGCGGCGCGCAGATCGTGGCATCCGGCTCCTTAGGTGTGGCTGGTGGTTTTTGGTTTATAAATATGTTGGTTGGGTTTGTTGGTCTCCTTTTCTCCCGCAAGTGGAACTTTCAGGGAATCAGGTTGTTTTTTTTTCAGTGTGATGGTTTTTGCCAGTGCTGCATGGTTTTTGCCAGTGCAACATGCTTGTCTCAGTCTTCCACCTGCAGAAGTTGGTCCATCTATGGGCAAAGAGCAGCCAGCTCTCCGATCCGAGGGTGGTTCAAGACGAGGATGGATCAACAGCCATGCCAATGGGCCAAGGGGGTTCCTTCAGCGGGCTAGCTGTTGCCAGCGAAGCCTTGGCTGGCTGGCTTTTCGTGAGAAACAACTCAGGAAATGCCATGCGACCGAAAGCAACGGCCACCAGCAGATGAGTCCAATGCCAGGTTGCCCATAGCCCACCAATCCAAACCACCAATTAGTGGGGAGCTGAAAAGGGTGAGAGCAAAGCCGACGAATAACAACGCTGTTGATTTGCCCTGTTCCATCATGTTCAGAGAATAATCTGCTTTTCCAGGTCACCCAGGTCCTTTGGATGGAACACACGTGTGATGCGACAGGTGATGCATCTGCCGACCTTTCACCAGTTCTTTTCCCCTGTTCAGAAAAAAAAAAGGTGATCACCTTAGATGTCCATCCAAGTCCTTTGCATGGCCAAATTCCACTTCACACTAGTTGGTTTCTGAAAAAATCCCGGTCTCAGGCGCATCACACCTTCTGAATCCAAAACACATGCCCGCTATTCTGGTTTGGTGGTTCAGGGTAGGTTCCCATTTCGTCTGTACAAGAACCAGGGTTCAAATCCCCTAAACCATCATTCCAAACCACCAACGAAGGGTTCCCTGACCTTTGGTGGTGCCGTTCTTTTCCTCGCGGCGCTCCCCTTTTGTAGGAGATCTCAGCAAAGCTGGGGCAAAGTTCCGGCGATTGGGACATCCTTCGCGGCGAGATCAGCGACTCGCGATGTCGAGCTCTGTGCTTTTGAGGGTATTTGTCTTCGGGGTTTCGAGAATCTTCTTTAGATTCACACCTATGGTAAATAAAGCATAGGTAGAAAACAGAATAGTATGTTTTTCCCGGATTCAAAGTCGGGTGCCCTTGAAATCAATGGCGACCAGCCTTCCCAAGACCTATGGCCTACCAATGACTTGGCCATGACCGTTTGACCACCGTTTGCCAGGGCAAACCACTCATTGCCGGAGACCCGGGTGCGGATCGGATAGTTGTTGCACAATGTTCTTTGCACCGCCCTTTGCTAGGTGCCCCAGCTAGGTGCCCTTTCTCACCCCTTTTTTGCAGGAGGGTTCCCCTACTGAAATAGACTACAGAAAAAAAGGGTACCCTTCTAATCTCTGTACTGGAGGACCTAGATAGTGGGGCGTGAGTCGGGCATCCCAGGCAAGGCGGAGACGCTTCTCAAGGATTGCCTTTGGTTCATTTTCGCCATCGCTTGGCGGGTGGTAGCGGCAAGCCGGATCCTTGGCGTTCGGGGCGCTTTTGAACGTGCGGGGGGTGAGGGGAAGATTTGGTTCTCCCAATCGATGGCAAGGCTGGCTTCATGTGCAGGTGGCTCATCTTCAGCTTGCTGCTGATTTTAAGCTTGATACTGATGTGTTCCGATGCGCCATTGTTCCAGAATTCTTGCAACTTGCTTCTGGGCTGCTCGAGGTTTGGAGATTCGGCCGCTCGGGCAATGCACTCACTGCCAGCGAAAGGCAGCCACTCCCACGATCCAGAGGTTTCACCCACCAAAATACCAGGGAGTTTGCCCCAGCGGTGATGCCAAGCGAGTCTCGATACCCATGGCTTGGGACTTCGTTCGGGCCTTCAGAACTTACCTGGGCGTTCCGTCGCAACGGGCGCTTCCTTTCGGTTGGATTCAGTTGGCATTCTCATGGCCGACTGGCGACTTGAAGAAGCCAAGCGGCAACCTCAAGGCGCCTGCCTAGCTCGATGCTCAAACTGACGCAGGTATAGGTGAATGTGTTTCACGAAGATTCCCCTGGCTACCTGCTATAGTGGAAACTGGAAGCACTCATTGAAGTGTCACATTCATTTGTTGGAGTTCCTCATGCTAGCTGATGTTCGAAGCACTAAGGCCCCAATTGAACCCTCCCTCAAATCGGAAGCCTCTCCGATTTGGAGAAGATGGCCTTGGTGTTGTTCCACACCACAGATTGCCTGCCCCCTGCAAAACAAGACATGGAGACCAAACAGGAGAGTACTCTAGAAACAATCGGGGTTAGGGGAACTCCCATGTGAATTCGCAGAGAAGGAACCTACCACGCCGGGCTCTTCAAACGCTTCAAAGGCAATCCTTGCTCCTTGGAGTTGCGGTAAGGAGTCCTCTTCGTGGTTTCCCAATCGGGATAGTGCATTGGAGAATACTTGGACTTGTTATTTTCCCTTTTCGGCTTTGCAAGGTATCGATTTCAAGACTGGACATAGCTTATTTTTTCCAGGGGGCCTACCATGTCGGAGGGCCGTACTGTGGATGGACGAAATCCTGCACCTCAGAAACCCTGGAATGATGCGATTCTGCAAATGCCAACTAAACCAGGGTTTCCGCATGGCTTCATCTCGTGGTGCTAAACGGATTTTGTCCATCCACAGTCCTTTGGGGCTCAGGAGCTCGGACGCCCAGCCGCGCCGCTACTTCCTCTCCACGGCCTACCGCTTCGCAGAGCAGCTGCGGCAGCTGCGGGTGGCGAGTGGTGAAGCCGAGGCGCGCTGAAACGCTGACCGGACTCCAAGCGGGCGGCGGGGTCTTCTCGAGGCCGCGCATGTGGTGTGGCTTTGGAAAACCCACTCACTTGCCCAAAGCCGACCTTTTGACCTTTGGGTTTTCCCATGTTGGTCCATTTTTAGAAAAGGTCCCAAAAGGTTTAACCTTTTATTTCCAGGTCTTTTGGGCAAGTGAGCCCAGCTTGGGGGTCCACGAAAAGAAAGGCACAATGTAGGTGATATGTCATGCCCGGATTTGGGGAGTCTGAGTGGCAATGTATATAAAAACCTAGATGGAGCCTTGGGGAATCAACACACTTCCATACAGAGTGAATGGAGAGCACGGTTCAAGGGAAGGACGGGGGGGTTCTTTTGTGTTCCTTTAAAACCATTGCGGGAAAAAGCCAAGTAATGACCCTCAAACAAAATGACACACCTGGCAGCTCAACCAGCATCGTGTTAGCCACCCTGACTTTGATGGGGCTAGCCAAGCGTCTAGACGCCAGGCCACGGTGCAGCGCTGCGACTGCCGGCGCTTGTGCCTGGATGAGCCTGTAGGCGCCGTCATCACCAGCCCGCCATATCCCGGCGTCTATAGCTGCTTGACATGTTTTGGTGTGGGCCAAGAGGACAAGATTGGGAAGCTCTTTTTTCGGATGGGTTGTTGACACCACCTCCTGGTCCCAGATTGTGCGAAAGGGTAAAAACTAAAGGCGTTTGAATGGGCTAGCTGTTATGAATCCAAAATGGGCTCAACGCTCAGGGCGAGCCCTCAAAACGGCGGCATTCGATTTGCTTTGGGATGCATCCTGGCAGTAAAGGACAGCTCTCCCTTCGCTATGCCGCATGCCTAGGCCTTCAGAGGCTGAAGCCGAGTTGTTCTGCATACTGGCAGATACTGGTGTAAAGAAAACAAACAAAAACGCGGGTGTGCAATTCTATTCCTTGAGCTGAGCTCGATTACCTCCGACCCCCGGAAAGCTTCAAGGACCCTGAAAGCTTTGTCTGGGAGGTTGCCATCCCCTTAGCCTTTTTAGTTGTTTTTAGGTTTAGTGGCGTTGTCCATTGACGAAAAGCTAAGCTTTCGGCAGGGGATCAGAAAACGGACAGCCCAGTTTGAGCCCTGGTCGACTCCATGGCGATCGCCTGAGGCTACCAGCTGGCTGCCCAAGCGGATTGCCAGCAGCTCGGCGAGGACTCGGCCTTTGGTTTGCTCCTCGGAGACTTTCAAGTGGAGCAGGAGCGCTGGAACGGGCGAGGCATCAGGGTTCGCAAGGCTTCGGAAAGACAAATTGAGGCGACCCTCCCACGTTGGCATGTGACGTTCGGGGGTCCCTTAAGGAAATTCTTCCAGGTGCGCTCCAAAGGTGCCTGGAACCCTGGCTGAATGAGTGGTCCCCATTTGACACACCCATTGGCGAGTTGTGGAGATGGCCCCCAAAGCAGATTGAAAAGGCGCTCTCAATTTGCTCTAAAGTCAAGCAACCAAGATGTGTGGTTTGAGCATCGCTTGTTGGAGCCTTCGCTATTCCCAAGACATCCCAAGAAAGGCAACTGACATCCCTGCTCTCAGCCATCGTGCTCAGTTGTTTTAATCAGCCAAGGATACCCGATCATGGGCCGGGGGAGAATTACATACTCCAATATGCAAATTAGAGAAAAGGCATGTAAACAGCAACAAAGCATTTGGAAAAGACGCCGTTGACAAACGCATCCACCCAAAAGCCCTCGCACACAACCATAGCTTGTCCTGGGCTGAAAAAGAGAGATTTTCACTGTATATTGATCTTTGTGTTTGCGAATAATATAATATATATATATATATACATATAGACAGATAGATGTGTATATATATATAGATGTATATATATATATATAGGTATGTGTATGTATATATGCCCGTATATGTCATAGAGGCTGAGGCACGTCGTGTCCCGGGAGCCGGATGGCTAGGAGATCGGCTCTGCGAGCTTTACGCCTCGCAGCGAGGAGGACCGAAGACGTGGACAAATCCAAGGGCTGGCTTATCCGCAGCCGCAAACGTCGTGGAGTTGAGGACTGCTCCAAGATTTGTATTCAGAAAGCCCTTTCCAGTCGTGATTTTGCTCTTGCATTTTGAGCCACTCCCACATTTGCGAAGTTGTCATGTAGGTATGGCGGTACGGGGCATGACCGTAGGCAGAGTTGCGGCCAAGCCCAGTACCTAAAAGGTTGATTGAGAGCTGCTGGCCGCGGGTGGAAACTCCATTGAGCCCCATGAAATAGGCACCTAACCACCTAACCCAAGCCGTCCGCTTGACTCTCCTGACCGAACCCAAAATGCAATGGAACAAGACATCTTCCTCTCACAAAAACGGACGCTCCTTGGGGGTGCATGGCCTTATGTTCGCCACATGGAAAAAGGGGGGGTCAGGAGGCAGCGGCCATGTGGCAAGAAGAGCAGGTGGAGTGGCTAGGGGCGGCGTTCCGAAACCTCCGGCCACATGGCACGGCCACCATCATGACGCTGGGAATGAAGTGGGCGGGGTGTGGCGATTCGGTCCCACTTTGATACCCACAGGCCTTCTGGAAACAAACCGGCTCCATGACCTACAAGAGGTCCAAAGGCCTTCTGCTCAGGGACGAGGCAGCCTAGCGGATACACTTGCGCCACAAAGATCGCCTTTAGCTGATGTAGAGCATCCCCTGAAAGTTGAGCAATAAACAAATGGTTGAAGACTAAACTTACCTGCTGAGTTCCTGGACTTGAGGCTTGGGAAGACCGTGCTAGTTGTAACCAGCTTGGACTTGTTCAAGGTTGTTGTTGGGAAACATTTTACACTTTTGCTCATTGTGGTTTAGTGGTTGAAATCCCCACTTAACTGCTAAAATTTCAATTTGTTGCTCCCCTCCAACGTCAGCCAAGTGTTTGAACCTGCCACTCGATGGGACCGTGAGATCATCCGATGTCGGCCTGAGTGTTGTTTTGCGCGATTGGAGTATGCATTGAAGAAGTCGGAGCCTTGGAACGGCGTTTTCGGGATCCTTCTGATTCCCAGCCGGGAACAACATCGGACCCTCGAAAGACTGCATCTCCCAACTCCATTGAAGCAACAATCTTGCTAAGCTGTTCATAGAAGTGGACAAGGGAGGCTTGTCAAGAGGGTGGTAGTCTTCCAAACTTCCAAAACCCTTTGCTTCACTACTTCCATTTTGGCTCCACTAGGACGGGCGATGGCGACCGCATCGATAGCCTGCACTCCACGCTGCTGGCAGCTGCTGAAGTCGGCTTTGAAGTGGCGCAGCCCTCAGTGCGGTGGAGCCCTAAACAAGTGGATCCACCACGTCCCGAGGTGGCCACATCCACCATCGAGAGCTGCGCAGATGAGGCGCACCAGGTTCCGGGCATGGTGAGGACGGAGCACATGATCCATTTGATGAAGCCCCAGTGAGGAGACGCCAAACAATGTCAGCCCCCTTGACCGCACGCACCGGCACAGAGGGTGATGCAGAAGCAGGGCTTCGGAGGGTGAAAACAGGCGGTAGCGCTGGAAATGCTTCGAGATGCACCCACGCCCATTGGCGCAAGCGCCACGAGTGGAGATGAGGTCGCCAGCGCGAAGAGATGTGCCCATGCTACAAGTCTGAAGTGCAGAGATCGGAAAGAATGGCACAAGGCTAGGAAGCTGGCAACGTAAGCTGAACGCTTGGTAGCAGGATGAGTGCTTAGGCGAATCGGTGCGAATGAGCGCATGCTCCATCCTGACAGCCCATACAAAAGGTGCTGAAACAGTGCTGGGGGCACAGAGTCATGTACGAATCCGGATTTGCGCTTTTCAGCTACTCCCCAAATGACGAAGTGTCGTGTTTGTCCTGGGTTGCTCAAATCCGCTTGGTTCCCTTCAAGATGTTCGGTGCCTCAAAAAATATTCGGTGGTTCCTTTCAAGATGTTCAAGATGTGGTGGTGTTCAGCTTCAAGATCTTCAGTAAGCCCAAAACAAGTCTGCCATGCCTGGGACCGGCATCACAGCCCCCCCATGCATCTCGTGGCATTTGGCTCGCAGAAGGGACGTTGGGCGCCCTGAATGGGGCTGCTCTTGGATGAAGCTGGGACCTAATCAAACTGTTTGCCAAATCTGTTCATGTTGCGCAGTGGGTATGTGGTGAAGGGGCGGTTTCAACGGGGCACCTGATATTGTCAAAGGCAGCGCAGCAGTAAGCAGCCACTTGCTCCTGAAAGCAGGGCTTGCAGCCGGTCAACACTGAACGCTGACAACGTCCTTGAAAGAGTCCGCACGTTGCAGGGCAGGCATTGCCTTGCACCGGAACTTCGATTCATGTCAGTTTACAAACCCATGGTTGCGAGGCCCTTCTCGACTCTCCGGAATTCCAACCCAGAAACATCGAGGCAGAATCCGCCCAGACCCGGATTTCTGGGATTTCTGTTTCGCGCGCGCGGACGCGGCCGTTGAAACGCCTGCCATGTCCTTGCCGCCGGGTCCTGCAGGGAAGCCCAGCCTTGGGCAAGGCCCTTCCGCCGCACAAAGCTGGAGAGGCCAACTCATCTTGGCAGCAAAATGCTATCGCGGGTTTAGAGCCGTGCTGGAGAGATGCATCGGATCCTATACCTTCAGATGGTGTTGAGATGTGCGTCACTGTGGTTGGGTTAGGCTATGTCAGGATACAAAGCCTGTAGGGCAGGTCCAACTTCCGTTTTCCTCCGGCCTCTTCACTCAAGCTACCGCCCCAAGTTTTTCACACACCTTGCTGATTCATCGCGGGTGTTGCGCCCAAAGGTGAAGCGTTTCGTCCCCTCTGAGACTGGCCACTCCCGATTCATCCATCACGGGTTGATTGTTGGTGGGCCGTCTCTGGGTTTGTGTTTCAGCCCTGAGGTGTTGCAGAATGAAATGCTCGGACCCCAGCGCAAGCCGCAAGCAACGCGGGCATGGGTTCCACGTCATTGGCCAAGTTGCGCTGCATGGAACCAACGGAGGAATTCGCTGAGAGGGGACCCCAAAGCCGGTTGGGCGGTTGCATGTTGAGTGAATCAGCCCGAGCTCTCATTGGACCATGCCATCTCACCACTGAAAAGGACATTTCGCGGATGGCGTGCTCTTTCAGGAAGATGCCGCGGAAAGTCCCTCAAATCGGGTGCGCCGATGTGTTTCCGGACAGATCTAGCCTAAAGTTGTGGCACGGTTTTAGCACGGCAGCCGCTGTCATGTTGACAGAAACCGCATGCAGCCTTGGGCCATTGTTCCTTGGCATCAGCGTGGGGAGGGCTCAGCTTCAAGAGACCTATATGTTGATGTTATGTTGGCGATGTCATGGTTGTTGTTGGGAAGCATGTTACGGTTTTTCTTATTGTGGTTTAGTGGTTGAACTCCCCACTAAACTGCTCAAGTTTAAATGGTTGCTCCCCTTCCAACGTCAACCAAGATTTGGTTTACGTCTTTGTGGCTTGTGGATGTGAGTGGGTCGATCTTTGATCAGCAGATGAAGCCTGTGTTCCAAGCGATGTAAGCGCTTCAATCCAGCAACATCAAGAGTTCCTGCACTTTGAACTTTGTGGGTAGGTCATTTTGGTGGTAAACAAGAAGTTTGAACTGTAGGCCAATCCACTCAAAAGGTGAGTTGTATGCTACCTCGATCTTTTCGGGACGCTCTCGAGACATGACACGTTTTAGTATTGTCCTGTCGCTTAGAATTCTACCTGTGTGGGCCTGCTTGCTTTTGTGAATCGCACAGCATGATGTTTGTCACATCTAATTAAAGCAGACAAGCCTTGGCAAGGTTGATTTCCGAGCGAACCCCTTGCGTATCCACCATGCATCCGCGCTGACTTCTCCGAGGGAGCTGCCGGTGAAAGCACCGCCAACTCAGTCGCAGGAAGCACAGATTCACAAACTCGGAGAGGGGTCGATGAGTCACCGGTTTGTTTCATGACTCATTTTGAGCTTTTTACCTTGTTAGGGCTTAGCGGGAGCCCACTAAAATTTAAGTTATTGGCGGGGGATCTGAGGGCACCCCAGCTACGAATGTTGATTATTGGTGCTGTGTAAAATGATCTTAGGACATGTGGGGTATGTATGCCGATCGCCCGTTGCTCCGAAGGCACTCCGCCATGTAGGCTGTGCCCTCTGAATTGCTCCTGGAACTGGAACAGCTGATTGGCAAATGGGTGCGATTGGAATAGTCATATGTGATACATGTGGACAAGAGAAGTTGAGGCCGCCAAACTGTTTACAGATGTCCCACCAAACATATTCCAAAGGCCTGCACAGATCGCCAGAGGGTGACATTCCTTCTTAGCGACACCTGCAGAAAGCGTTTCAATTCAGCATGTTCCTGGCCAATTCTCCTTTTCATGGTTGTTGTTGGGAAACATTTCACATGTTTGCTTCTTTTGTTTGAGTGGTTGAAATCCAACTACTGAACTGCTAGAGTTTAAATGGTTGCTCCCCTAACCCAACGTCAAGTTTTGTATGTCCCATTCGGTTCACTCACACCCTCCAGAATACCCAAGCTGGGGGAGGGGAGCACGAGAGAAGAGACAATGGGCTGCGCAAATGCGTTGTGAGAAGCGGGGTAGGAGTCTTGGAAAGAGCTGAGATGGTGAAGGTCTTTAGGCCTTTGATAGGTGAAAGAAGGTGAATATGTGGATGACTCTTTTGGTCTTTAGTCAGCCATAGGCTGTCTCTTCCTTTTGATAAAGGGATAGGAAGAGAAGGTGAAAGACACAGGAGAAAAACGAGACAGCTTGTGGCTGACAGGTTGTTTTGAGCGACCCGTACCTTTTCTCTCTATGAGTGACTTGTTGCGTCAAAATGCTTCTAGCTGGAATTGCTGACGGGGCTGTATTCACTTTCTTTATTGCTTTACAGCTATTGATTTCTTGTTTTAGTTCATCCTATTTTATTTCGCGACTGATCCGTTGAGAGGGTCACTTGGAGCGAGCCTCGCATTTGCGGCAACAGCTCTGTGGCGTTGAACATGTCCCATCGCAACTGTTGTATCTCTGGGGAAGGAACCGAGCCATGAATCTGCTTCCCTCCAATTGGTGGTTTGGATTGGTTGGTGCTCGGGGGTGGGGCGGGGGGCTGCCCAAGAATTCCTCTACAAGAAACCAGTGTCCCGTTCAAATCCAAATCCAAACCACGCTCCAAGCCAGCTGAATGAAGTTCCCGCCATTGAACAGGGCTCCTTAAAATCTAAGGATTTTTGTATTACACCCTGGGAATACACCCACTGGGTATTGACCCTATTTAGGCACAGTTCCGGATAAAACCGTGCTATTTTGAACCATTCTGGGTGTAATCCCAGGGTGTAATACAAAATCCCTCAGAAAAAAGATACATGTTGCCCATTTGAAACATGGCTTTTTCCACCAAAAAAAGGGAACCCACCATGTACAAGGCAATGCTCAGGTGTTTTTCTGTTGAACCCCACGGCAGGTTCTTGGCGTTGGCGCAATCCTCGCCCAGGCCCTACGGCCCCGTGAGAGAGGAGGCACCAGCTGCTGGCTATGAGCCGTACCCGCCGCGCGCCCAGTGCGCGGGGTTTTCTTTCCGGGCTTCGGATGCATTTAGGCGCTGACTTCTTTGGAGTATGAAACCTTTTTCAGGTCGGCTGAAAGGTATACAAGGAAAACCAAAACCCTTTTTTTCTAAGGGTGCCCTTTCTTGAGACTTGTTCACTGCTTGGCCCGGAACCTTTCACTTGTGGTCATTCAGATGTGATCGACTTGCGATTTGAACACGTCAGGTAGCGGTTGATCACAAAGCGAGGTGTAAGGAAGGAACCCTTTTGCTGCTTCAGCTTGAGAGGTCGTGTGGATTTGCGAAGGTGTTTCTGACCGGACCTATGGGATTTCCATAAATCCCGCCATCCAAGGCATGCCTGTCCAAAGAATGAGAACTTTGCAGCGGGCAGCGGGCTCTTTCGCCGCGCAATCTTGCCCCTTCTTCCGTCCCCTCCCGGAATTTGTGGGGATGTCTTTTGTGGCCTTCTTCCTCTTCCAAGTAGCGTAAAGTCCCATCTGGTAGGGGCTTTGCAAGCGCACGCGCCGGAAGTTTGGTGGATGTGGCCTGCGAATTTTCAGCTCGATCCACGCACATGCCATGGCGGCCTTTGCCCTAGCGCCGGCTGCAGGTGGGGGGCGCGGTCGCACTGACACGCTCACCAGCTCTGTTATCGGCTTGGCGGTGGTTTGAAAGGGACATGGCCGTGAATCTGAAATTTCACATCCCCTCCCACAAGCAAACATGGAACCTGAAGGGGGGTCCTGGCAGACCATATTCCTTTTCAAGGGACCCCCTGTCAGGTTCTGTGTGAATTGGTGGGAGAGTAAACTTGTTGGTGCTTGAGCAGGCGGAAGTCCAGCATCCAAAGCCACGCCCTTCTGGCGATTGACCACTTCTGGTGCATAGCTCACACTTTCCTGAACCGAAGGCTTAACTTTGGTGCATGTTGCTTGGATGTTAGGACTTTAACTTTTTGCCAACCAATGGGCTTTCCATCAAACCACTAAAAGTCAAACTTTTAGCAGGGGAGCAGAAAGCAACCAAGTTAAGCTGATACGTGATCCACTGGTCAAGGCCAAGCTTCATTCTGTTTAGAATATACTTGTGGCCTTGCATTAGGGTTGGCTGGGTCAGAATCCCAAGTTGAATTATCGCGGCCAGAAGGGGCAAGGTCGAGAATTGCCACTGCCATGGCAACAGAAACTTAAGGACCGCACCTTTGCACAGACTACATGTCTGACTTCGGCAATTAACGCTGTCTTGCTGCTTGGGCTAATCCTGTTCTTGTTTGCAGCTAAGCGCCATGCCCTACCAGCCAACATCAGAAGAGGAGGTGTTTGTCTTGGCAGTCTCTGTGTGTGTGTGCTTCAGGTTTTGCACGCTTGGTAGACTCAAACACCGGGTTGCACAGATTTCGAAAGACCTGTCAGAATCACATGTGAATGTGTTGAACTCACAGGAGCGCGCTAGTTGCATGCCTGGGTGCTCGGACAAGTTAGCAAGTGAAGTGGTTCGCAATCTAGGTTGCCCTCAGATGAGCAATGTCGTCAGGGGGCAAGACGCCAGGTGGCTAACCACATGCGAACATTGCCGAAGAACTCGAGTATCCCTGAGGTGGTTTCCACCCCCAAACTGCCCATGAAAGAGTGGTTATCCCATATATCGGTGCATATGCATATATATATATATACACAAGAAAAATATGTATATAGGGCTATATTGTGGTTGCATCTGGGAAACTTCTCGCGGGTGGTTTGGGACAAGCGGAGGTTTGAGAAATGTCGCCGATGACAGGCTCAGCCACCAGGGTAGCCGCCCCAGCCACGCCAACGCTGGCGACACCGCTGGCAACACCTCAGTTGGAGCAACCCAAGCGGCTGGCCGCAGCTGCGACGCTCGGAAGGCAATGATCTCAGCATTTCTTTGGTGCATTTTGCTTGGAGGACTTTAACTTTTTGCCAACTAATATTTAATGGGGTTTCCATTAAACGACTAAAAGATAACCTTTTAGCAGGGGAGCAGAAAGCAACGAGATTTGGTCGTCAGGGCCTTTGGTTCTTCCCTGGAATTGGAACTTGCGCGCCAATTGGGCGTATGATGGTCGGCGTTATTTGGCGTTCAAGAAGCTGGGATCTCTCTTGAAACGCCGATGGAAAAGTGAAGGCCAGAGCCCGAAAGGATGGGCCAAGCGACGATTGAGCCTTCCAAGGCTAGCGGGGTTGGCCATTGCCAGCATTGCCAGTCGCCGCAGGCTGGGCGAACATTCTCCTTATCGACGGTTGTGACAAGCTGTTGGATTCAAACATGTCCGACCAGTGGGGCCTTGCCTTTTTGCCGGCCAAGTTTGCGAATCAAACGCATGCTTCGAGCCGTGGAAGAACCATCAGAATGATAGTCCCCATGGATTTTTGACTACCCCAAGGTAGACTTAAACCCAGGACTGGCTGCTTTCCCCCAGGTTTAAGTCCACCTGGTGGTCAAAAAATGGAATCGGGATGGGCCCCACGTGCGACCAGCCATTTCTTAGCCTCGCGCTGTGAGGCTGCCGCGCCGGCGGCCTCAGGCACTGCCTGATGGCACCAACGAGGAGGGCGAGGACCACCATAAACCGCCGTCGAGAGTGGGTTACTCCATGCGGGCTCTCTTTTTTCACTTGGCTTCTTGATTGCTTTTGGGTTGGATCTTTAGGCTTTAGCTTTTTGTGAAGTCAAGGGGTTTTCCACTAGAGCCACAAAAAGTTAAGCTTTTTGCAGAGGGTTCCACAGCAACCAAGGGTCTGTCTCTTGGGGGCACCCCTTGTTTACCAGTTGAGGGGGACCCCCAGAAAAAGACACACCCACTTGGGTTTCGAAACCACCCCAAAGACGGAAAAGCAACATGGTTGCCTTTTCCATATCCTCCTGGGCAACTGGGTAGACGGCGTGACCGATTCTCCATCCCACCGCAATTAAGGCCCCGTGCAGTGGAAGTTGCCCATTGGCTGCCAGGCCTTTCTGTGAGCGCCTCGAAAGACACCTCTAGGGCGACCTTTAACAGCGTGGGATCCCAGCGCTAGCAGCCCATGTTCAACTTGACAGCGGCACAGTTGAATGCACGTGGGGTCTCCTTCGGGACCATTCCGGAGGTTCCAGGCTCAGAAGGTCTCCGGAGGTTCCAGGCTCAGGCACATGACAAGCAGCTCACCGTGGAACTCCAAATGGATCCTCGGTGCTCTAGCTCGGACTCCAGTCTGATTACCGCAGCTTCATATGCAAGACTCACCGCTGGCAAACTCTTTTTTTCCCTCAGGGCATGGCTCAAAGCGGGTTGCCCCCTGCAATTCGTTGGTTTCCCTCCAAAAAGAGCATCACTAGAGACAGGGGTCACCGGGGTCACTGGACCTCCCCTTCGACAGTTGATCAATGAACGGGCTTCATTGAAACGAGAGCCCACTTTTGGAGCTCCAAGTGAAATGGCTCGGAAGCCCTGCCCCAACATAGGTGGTGTCCAACAAAACCAAGCAGTTTGTGAAACTCCAAGGTTTCCAACAAAAGAACCCCAGTCATATTCCGCTGAAAACGAAAACGCGCGCCCTCCCGGACGTGAAGCGTTCAGGAGGTGGCACCTTTGGAGTGGGCCCTCGATGAGGTGGACGATATCGTCCTGTACCCTGAAACCAAGTCTTCGTGGCAAACCTGGGATTTTGTCGAGGGATCCCTCCGTTACCTCGTTTTGGAACCTCCAACAGCGGCGGTCGTTTGAAGAGAAACCACCACTCAATGGATCAACCTTTGAAGGTCAAGCCCTGTCTCTTGAAATGATGCTGCATTTGAAGGCTCAGAATCGCAGCATGGATCAGAATCCCACGTGGAGGCAGAACACAATGCCAGCCTGAAAAGGCGGAGGGGAATGTTGGCAAATCTCGCAATGCGTAACGCTTTGCGTGGCATGCAGTTTCTTAGCCTCCCCATCCACCGCGCGCAAGGTATCAGCAGGAGATGTCCCCTCCCTGCGTGAAGCTGAGGCGCGTGTCTCGAGTATCTCTCGGTCCGATGGAATCGCGCCGGAGTCTTCTTTCCATTCCGAAGGCCGCATGCATGCTGGAAATCTGAATCTCGGATTTGTGCAGAACGGTCACAGTGGACAGCACGAATGAGGGTTTCTTTTTCGAGGGAACAACTTGTTTGGTGGTTTTAAAGGAATACCCCTTGTTTTTTTTGGGGGGGGTTTTGCTCGTTTGCTTGTTTGTTTTTTGGGGGGGTCGCCCAAACGAGCCCACCCACACCCCATCACCTGGCCACAGGACGATGTTCAGATACTTCGGGCTGCCCTTCCGCACTGTCAACGGGCGACATCCGACATCTGAGTCTCGCAGTAAAGCAAAGCGGCCTTTTGACCTTTTTCGAGGGGTTTATTCCCCATTCTTTTCAACCATCGCTCTTTTCAAAAACCGGCAGTTTCCCCTGGGTTTTTGATGGTTTCCTGAAAAGAAGGATCCCTGGAAAGAATGGGGAAGGTGCCCCTAGACTTTTGGGTTCCCCCTCTTCCGCTTTCAGTCATGGCACCAAAAGGCAAACTTTTCATTTGTGGGTCCTTTTGGGTAACTGAGAAGCACATTTTGACTCGCGCCTGAAGTTGTGTCCTGCAGCCTGTAATTGTTTTTTAATGCTTACAGGGCCTTGCTCGTGAACGGTCTTGACTGGCGTCTTTTTTGGAGTGACTGCAGACTTGTGCAATTGCCAGAAACAATCTAAGGATTACAAAAAGATCCCGGTCCTTGTCATCAACGACCGCTGCTTGGCTCGTTTATGTTGGATCCCATTCTCCTCACTTCTCCTCCAGAAATTGTTTGCAATTTCACCTCAAGCCAAACAGGTTACTAGAACCTTGTGCTAAATGGGATCTTGTTTTGAGGAACCCCTTCTTGGAGCGCAAGGGAATGTACTCCGACGGAAAACTGTTCGAAAGGGCCCCTCGACCGTTCGACGCTTTGACGCGAGCCTCGAGGTCAAATCAATGATTCCCATGTCATCATCAAGACCATCGTGCCCTGGTTCACTGGCCAGCAGTTGACCCCCGAAGAGATCAACTGGGAGAAGCGCATCACCTATGCCTCTTGACGCAGTGGCTCACTTGACCCCAAAACACCAGTGGGCGCAAAGGCGCGCAAAAAAAGAAAAAGAAAAACTTGTTCAACATGGGTAGCATATAAGTCGGTGATATGCGAATGATTCCCATGGCATTGTGGGGAAGGCACCGGCCTCTCGCATCACGAGTGATCAAATGTCATGTCGGGACCACCGGATCCGCCGAGCATTGCGTGAAGACAAGTCCCATGAGCTGAGGGACCATTGCTTTGATGCCCTGGGTCGTTGGTGGCCGCAGTTAGTGTTGTGTTCCTGTTTGCGCGGACGTTAGTTACTCTTTGGGACCATATTTAGTGGCAAGAATACTTAGCGGTAGTGAGAGAGAGAGAGAGAGATTTCGTGGTAAAATATGGTGAATAACAAGTTTGGCTTCTTTTCACCCAATTTTGCTTTGGGGGGACCAGTGAGGTAAATAGGGGTTGGAGAAGAAGGGTCCCTGTTTGACCGTGGCTCACAATTGGGTCCACGTTTTGAATCTTGCATCTTTGCCCTTGGCGAACGTGAAGTAACTCACTGCCTGAGTTCATGAACTTTAAACTCTTGGGAAGACCATTTTAGTAGCAAATCTAAAGTTTGGACTTTTTTGGGGACATCCACTCAGCAGGTGAGGTACCGATTTCACTCGGAAGTGAGCTACCCCTTTCGGTCGCCGAGGAGTTCCAGCCAGCCTTCGAGGTGGAGCTGGTGGGCAACGAGCGCGACGTCGCGCCACCCCGGCGGAGTTGCGCCGGAGAGCTGGGGCTGAGATGACGGGGACAGTGGAAAACACCCCCGAAAACCGAAGATTTGACTAGGTCCCCCAGCTAGGTGCCCTTGGGGGAGGGTTTCCCTACTAAAACAATAGACTACAGAAAAAGGTTGGTACCCTTATTCTAGCCTCTCTACTGGAGGACCTAGTTGAGGTGGTTTTTTCTGGTCCTTGTTTCGAGGTGTTTTCCAGGTCCAAACGCATTTTGGAGTTGGGGCGGGATGCGTGGAGGCTTTTTGGGTTGGGTGGCAGCTGCGCAAGCGGCCAAAGGTAGCTGGGCGTGTCGTGTTGTTCCTCTCTTTTTTTTGCGGAAAGGGATGGAACATGTTTCGTGGAGACGGTGTTTCAGAAGACTGGCTACTAGGTATCTTAGTGGTTTGGGTGTCCCATCGGGTGGGTCGTGCTGGGTCCTCCACATCTGCAATCGCTTGGAGCCACCCGGTGAGACATAGAAGCTTGATCATGCTACGCTTGGCGCAAGGTGGGTACTTACGAGAACGCGGCAAAGCAACGCACAATTCACACTGATACATCAATCTGCCTATTTTATAGCGACCCCACTTGGGGATAAGATGGTAAAGATCATCTACTTGGGGATCCCTTTTTTCAAGTGTTGGAATTGTTGGAATGCAGAAATCAACCTCCTGTTCCCTAAGCTTGAAGAGGGAGGGACGGCAAACCCGGCAGTCGAACCTAAGAGTCGGAGCGGCATGTGTCAGGCTTCTTTGGGCACGCGCCACCAACTTCATCGGTGGTTGGCAACGAGGACGGCCATTTTTCCCACGTTCCCAGCTAGCAGATTGTCTTGGTGGCTCCCAGCCATCCATTTCCTTAGCCTTTTGGCTGTTTGGTGTTTAGTGGGGATTTCCATTTAACCCACTAACACTTAAACTTTTAGCGGGATCTCAGGACAGCACAGATTGTTTCACAGACAATGTTTGACAATCTATTGATGTTCTTCAAAAATGACTGGAGCCATGCAGATTCATCCGCGCCTTGCTGTTTGCCCTCGCCTTGCGCGCTGCTTTCCTTTGGGCGTGCCGGAAGCTGCCCGTGGCTTGACGTCTTAACTTCGGGTGCCTTGCTGTCGGGCGGCGTTTCGTAGGAGTCATCGGCCTCGTTTCGCCCATCTTGAGACTCGTGGTGGAGTCCCTCTTCAAGTCTCGGTACCCCAACATGGAGCTTCCAAGCTTCTGGGCGGAGAGGAGGGGGGAGGAGGTCTAGCCGCGCACGGGCAACTCCGTTATCCAGCGCCCCTGGCCATGAATACCTGCAGATTCAGTTGAGGCATGCAAAAAGGAGCATGCGGGATGCTGCAATGTCTCAATTGGAGGGAGGATTGGACGGATGATGTTTCTCAGAGCTCGCCTGTGCCGCGCATGCCGCGCGCAGACGGATGGCCAATTGCGCCGTCGAGTCCAAACGTCAGACTAAATTTTGCGGTCCGAATGTTTGATTGGGCTCGATGGAGAGGCAGTGAACACGTCCTCTCGACATCTCGCGACAGCATCAGCTTGCAAATTTGCCATTTTCATGGTAAAATATGTTCAACGCGTGTTGTCCACACTTTTCTTGCCATACGCGTGAATTTTCCCGGCACTTGACAATCATTATTGGGGTCTGTAGGATCGAGTTTCCATATCAACCGCTTCGAAGAGACAAGAACTGCACCTCAGATGGCCCAAGAGGAGGAGTTTCCTAACCCGGCTAAAGCCGGACTTGTTGTGGTCTCCACAACACGGGGATTTGCACTGCCCCAACTTTGATAGCCTGGCCAGGTCTTATACGGTTCGAGTAGCCTTGCGCTACTCCATACCATCGCCTATCAAACCCGGCTAGGCCAAAAAAAAGCTCGAGGTGTGTTGTGTATTGACTTTGAGGCCAGCCCAAATATAAAGGAAGGATCTCCAGGCCCCTCCTCCCTGACTTTGAAAAACACTTGATAAGGCCTTCTCAAAACCTAGTTTGGGTTTTGCCATGGGGTAAAATCGGGCCTTCGCTTCGGGGTTCCATCGCGTGAGGCTCCAAGTTCGGCTTGAGCTTCCGCGCGGCCATGGGGGACAAGGATTTCTTCCACGGGGACAAGTGCGGGCCCATCGACCTCAGCCTCTTTGGAGCCTCGGATCGGTCTGAGGTTTGAGACCGAGATAGCACCTAGAGATAGAGTTAGCGATAGGGAGAGAGAGAGAGAAGAAATACGCTCAGGTGATATCCCCAACAGCATGCGGTGCTTTGTTCAGTGCTCGCCATAAAACCCTGCTAAACGATGGTCAAACCTTGGTGGAACCCTGGTCAAACCCTGGTGGAACCCTCGCGGAACCTTACCTCAGGCCCACCCCGGAGCCTATCTGGGCTGAGACCCCAAGCTTTCAGCTGTTGGGGGAAAAAAGGAGAAGGAGGAGAGAAGGAGATTCCTCCGGACATGGATTGGTTGGGCTGATGTTGATCAATCTGCAGGGTGGTTTGCCTTCCGAACCTGGACCCTTTGGAGATGACGCATGTTTACACCCCCATGTTTATGCATGAATTTGTTTCACAAACCCTCGTTTTGGCTCCGCTTCAAATTTATAGGTGGCCATGGTGAAGTCGTGTTTATTCAAATGGTGTTCCCTGGTTTGGTCGGCCCCTATCTTGCTGGGTCTAGTCTTGACAATGCTTGGGTACTGACCGGCAAATCCATGCCCAAAACCACGTGCTGACCGCAGGAACTTACGCAGCCTTCGCAGAGTGCTGCTGGCCTGCACAGCTTTGCACAAGGGAAGCAGGAGGATGTTTGCTCATGCAGGGAGGGCACATCCCGAGAAGAATGGATTGTTCATTGGTCATTGCCTTCATGACTTTGATTGGAGCTATGTTTGCCACTGTTTGCCGGTTCACTTGGTTATGGCATCAGGTTCTTCATGCCATTCGTCGGAGCGCAACGGATTTTTTGCCCGGCCTTCCCTCCAAGGCGGTTGTCAAGCTTGTTTGTGTGGGCTCACATAAGGCAAAACGACAGGAACGGCCTTGGCAGGAAGACCACAACCCCCAGCCTCCCCCGCTAAGGCAATGCAACAGCGCGGTTCCTACAGGCCAGCAACCTTGAGGCGGGCTGATGGGCTGATGGGATTTTGGGCTGAGCGGATGGGCGGGCTGATGGGCTGCCAACTTCATGGCGCGAATCCAAGGGCTCACAAATTGTATGCCAGATTTGGCGCAGGAATACATCTGCACACATGGGTGGCTCGTGTTTTTTGTTGATGGTCCCCCTGCTTTGCTGGTTTTATTAAGGGAAACCACAGGACAAACGATGCGCCATGTTGGGAGGTCCCCCCCACCAAAAAAAACACGTCCGCACACATCTTCCACGTCTGATTTCAAGTTGTTGAGACCACACCCTGGGAAATCTAGCCAGTTGCGACATGAATTTGCCGGTGAGAACGGCATGCCAAAGCCGTTCGACATTTTTCCTCCGTCACCTGTGATGCTCTGATTCCGCTGTGTCCCAGTTTTCTGAGATAAACCGCGTGCAACGTAGCTCTTGCTGTTGCCCGGCTTTTGGCGTATGGCTAATGCAGGCTTTGCATCTTGTCTCAGGCTTGGTGCCCCGAATCTTGGCCCCATGGCTTAACCAACGAATTCTTTGGTCTGGCCGGCAGGGTGTACTTCATGCCCTGCTTGCCACCTCAAAGGTGGCTGGTGGAGAAATGACTTTTCCCAGCTACGTGATGTGGAAAGGAAGCCCCACCTGAAGCGGAAGCCGGCAAGGACTGGCACAAGCGGATGACAGAGCTTGGAGTGGGCGACGGCCAGAGCCACGGCAGAGAAATTGACCCGGGTTCTGTGATTGCAACTTGCAGGAAGTTATCATTCAGTACCTATCCTGAAATGATCTCCTTGTTCATCGCGCAATTTCCCGGCAAAGGTGGGGAGTGGGCACCTTATTTGGATACGTACTTGAAGAGACCTTGACCCGACCTGCTACGGTTTGGTTCTGTAAACAAGAAGTTGCTTTTGTTTCTGACGGCTGGCAAGCAGGCAGGCAGGCAGACAGACAAGCAGGCAAGCTGATCATAGCTTCCCGAACACCCCACACAAACAAAACGCGCCTGACCTCGCCTTGACCAACGCCAAGCTGAGGTCGAGTTCAACTTGACCCAACCCCACTGCCTAGCCTCAAGCCACATTATGCGGAGCACTTTGGGCAATGGAACCTCAAAGGCGCCGTAGATTCGCTGCATCGACCGCTTTGGCTTGCAGAAGCCTTGTTTCCCTCAAAGGGAGGGGATGGAGCCCCACTCGATGTGTTCGATCTCCGGACGTCTCTTCGCCTCGCTCCAAGGAGTCCAAGGGTCTACTCCATGACCTGAGCCTTCGCCTTCCGCCGTGGGCGCGGGGCGCGCGCGGCGATGCGCTGAGACCCCCGGAATCCGATTCTTCCCGCGCGCGGCGGGGGAAAAATTTTGGGCCGAGGGCGTCACCGCCCTTTGAAAAGGGAATTGGAACATGAGCATGTTACCCGGAAGAAGTAAAGCTGCAGAACTGTTCCGAAGGTCTCTTGCGGATGGCACGCCCATCTGGGGGCTCGCCCTGCAACCAACAGCTACTAATGCTTGCCACTTTTGAGTGGGGCCTAACAAGGTTTTAGGTTCCTTGTGGTGTTCAGGCTAAGGCCGCCGTGATTGTGAAAGGTTGGGCGTTGGGTCGCCACATGTCGCCACGGAATCTGCAACAATCAGGGAAGCTTCTTCAAAGTGAAGTCATGGGGCTGTCCGGCTTGCAGGGTGTAACACGGCCCGTGTATTGCGCAGTTCGGCAGCTGTTTGAGGTCAGATGCGTTCAAAGTGCAGGGTGCCCAAGGTTTCAGCCGCGGAGAGAAACAGATTGGTGCATTGAACACCTCAAGTGGGCAGACCCTCGACTGGTCTGGTCGGTTCGTAGAGTTGCACAGAATATATTTGGTCACCGTTGAATCCACCAAGCCTGAAAACATGGCAATGGTCACCTTTCTGAAGACCTTTTGGACACCAGCCTGCGGGGACATGAGAAACAAAGAACTTGCTTCGCAACACTGATGAGAACCTGCCTTCAGCGGCTTTGGCACATTCGGTGCTCACGTGTTTCCACCGAATTGTCCAGGGTGTGTGCTTTGCTCTCACCGATTTGGAGCCCGGGCCATGACTTCAACACCGAGAAAATTATGCGGTCATGTCTTTCTCGGTTGGATTTAAGCGGAGCTGTGCGAACCAAACGCTTGAGTTCCTGGTGGTTCTGTCGGGTTTCCCGAGGAGAATCCAATGCAGAAGTAGAGCGAACGTACAGCTTGCTGATTCTCAGCAGGGAATGAACAAGAATCCCAACTTACCCATCCACAAGTTGGTTCCCTTTCGGGAATCCCCAAAAAAACAGTTCATTCCCAGCACCCTGCTGGATTTTTCCTACGCCCGCGGCGCGAGGGCCAAGGCCTCGGCGCCGGCGCCGGAGGCGAGTCCGGCGCTAGAGCCGAAGGAGGAGACGTCAGGGCGCTCCGGGCGCTCCCGGCGCCGGACGAAGGGTTTTCCTGTGCCGTTTGGAGGCGTCTCTCTGTCGCCACTTTCTTCTTTTTTGCATCTTTTTTTTGAAAGGATGATCTCGACTTGCAGGTTGTGCTGTCCTAGGCGCTTTCCTAAGGCGCACTGGATGATCTTTGCCATTTTCCAAGCAGGTGTCGGGAGTTCCCGAACACTGACCAGTATTTCCTTGATCTTGGGCCCTGAAAAATTGTAGGTCTTGATGCCCCTTTGGAACCGAGCAGCATCAAGAATGTCCCTTCTTCTGCGGGTCCTCGTAGGTTGCGTCCAGGCTCCAGGGCTGGGCTCCAGATCTCTCCATAGCACCAGCAAGCGCGCGAGTGCCGGGTGGACCTTTTTCTGAGTTCCTGGACCATTTTTGGAAGCACGCAAGAAGTTTGGTGGCTTTGTTTGGCCCATCCATTCAGGCAGAGAGTGACCTGAAACCATTGTTCCTTGGCATTTGCAGGGGAATCGCATCAACCAGGGTTGCTGAACGGTGGTGCTCGCAACCATCCTGGGTCCATTCCAACGCATTCCCTCCATCCAGAGGGACCCTTCCGTCAGCTTTGTCAGCTCACTCCGGAGGAGGCGCCCGAAGCGCCGGACACGGACGAGCAGCTGCATCGGAGGCGGATGGGGCTGTCTTTTTTTTAGCCCCCCAAAATGCTGGCGTTCGTTCGAATTTCTTTTTGAAACACCAAAAAGGGTACCCCTCAAAAAAGGCACACACACACACATGGGATGGTGTCAAATTGGAAGCCGCGGCAGGTGGTTTCAGGCTTCCCGAAACTAAGCAAACAAAAGGAGTACCGACAAGTAAAGACAGAGGAATACGCTTTCTTTGGAGCTAGTATGTCTGTTGTTGGACTAGTTTGGGGGGAAACCAAAGGGAAACCACCCATGTTGGAGGTTCTGTTACTTGGAGACACGCATATGTGAAAGGACTGATCATCATGGATCCTTTCGACAACCGTGATAAGGATTCGATTCAGGGACGATGTCAAGCGTCTGGACAATGGCGAACCTGCATTCTTCTTCGCAGAATCTCGCCATTTGCAGCGTCAGCTATCTGGGGCCGAAGGCCCTCTGAATATGGAGTTGAATGAAGCATTTCGAGTAGTCGATGGTCCTTTTGGGAGGGACATGCGGAACGAAGGCGAAGTTTCCCCACAAACACCGCGGAACTCATTGCACTAAAACCAGGGGGCGAGCCCTTGGGGAAGCATTCGCAGCTTTGTCCGGGATACTCCATGAGAGTGCAGGTTCAAAACTCCTGCAACATGTTCACATTGCTCGGAAACTAGGGGGGGGCGATGGAAATTATTGCTTGGAGTAATGTTAACTTCGGAATCCGGATGACGCTACTAAAAGGGTGGGGGGCCCTCCAAAAAAAATATGATTCCTCACCAAACCCAGGGACACCCCACTATTCATACACTGGGGGCGGAAAAAAGGGGGGTCAACATTAGTCAGAGGTGCATGTTGCTTGGATGTTAGGGCTTTAACTTTTTGCCAACTAACGGTTTTTCCATTAAGCCACTAAAGGTTAAACTTTTAGCAGGGGAGCAGAAAGTAACCGAGATTAGTCAGAGCAGCCGCGTTATTATCGAAATCATTGTCTAGGTCCCCCAATGGTGCCGTTTTACCCTTTTTTGGGAAAGGGTTCCCGTACAGTAGGCTACAGGAAAAACCGGGTACCCTTATTCTAACCCCTCAAATCTGGAGGACTAGTTTTCTTCCAGGAGAGCCATTCGCTTTCGCGGAGGCTTGCCGAGGCTGTGACTTCATTGGCCGGGCCGCCAAGCAGCGGGAGCCGGGCCTCAAGAATCTCACCTGGCAACCAGGGGAACCATGAGAACCATGGGAACCAACCATGACCCAAGCGGGGGCGGGGGGGGGGGGGTGAGGGGGGCGGGGGCTTTTTGCTTGAGGGTAGCCTTTCTTTGGGACCTAAAGCAAGAACAACTGGAAAGCCGGTCATTTGGACCATTGGAGGCTCCCCTTAAAAAGACAGGGGGATTCCATGGAGTACCTGTGGAGCTATTCCCAATCAAAAAACGCCTATGTTGGCGTGTGCTCCCGTTTTTGTTGAAGGCCATCGGCTCCGGGTGTCTCATTTCACCTGGAAAGGGTGAGGCCTTTTGCAGTGAGGTTCGCACCTCATTTCAGATGTTCAGTTGCTCCGGCAACTGCCTGGAGGTTGACAGGATGAGGGTTTTGTCGGCCAATCCTACACTATGTCCCACCACGCTCCTTCCTTCAAGCCGGGGCCATTTTGTGGATGCACGAGATCCTGCACCACTTGGGCTGGATCAACGCTATAAACTTTTGGTGCATTTTGCTTGGATGTTAGGACTTTTACTTTTGCCAACTAATGGGTTTTCCACTAAACCACTAAATGTTCAACTTGCAGGGGAGCAGACAGCAACCGAGTAAACAATGGTTGTATGCATGCGCGCAATTCAGCTTCTGCAATCTCATTTGGTATAGCTGGTTGCCCGTGTGCCCTTTGATGCGCGCCACCTTCCGACAGCCTGAAATGGGCTTTTGGCGCTTTACCTTTGCTGGACGGCCTGCCGATACGGCAGGCAGAGAGAGACAGAGAGAGAATGGAACAATCCACCTACCACCTGCAGCGCAGCGGATTCCGGACCCATCCACCAGCATCTTGAAAGACATCAGGAAAAGCCATGTCGAAAACAGGGTCTAACCAAAACTGATGTTGCTGAACACCGGCCTTATGAAGGCCTCACCTGGCCGCGTGCATTCCATGCGTGAGGTGCCGCAGCTCACAGCCCAAGGGGCTGGAGGCGCGGTTGACTCCGCGACCGAAGCCGCGACCGAAGACGTGCGCGGGCGGCGCGTCTTTTTGTGGCACGGGTCGCCCTTTTTCGTAGCTTTGATTAAAGGGAAGCCAAAAGGAAAGCACCCATGTTTTGGTGTTGATGAAAGGGAAGCCACCCATGTTTAGGGCGGTCCCCAATTTTTGAGAGAGAGCCCTATGTTCCAGATGCCGTCAACGGAACATACGCTGATGGAGGACCAGTCACCAGGCACCAGTCTATTCCGTTTCGATGTCGGTGCCTGATGCAGCCCGGTGCCAGGTGGGACTGCCCCGGTGCCTGACGCAGCCCGGCCTGACAAGTTGTTGGCGTTCATAGAAAGATGCCCAACAGGGGGTAGCTCTAAAGTCTACACAACCTTTCCGTCAACTTCGCGTTTATGTTGACAGGAGATGTGGGCCTGGCTGTTCCATCCAATTTCGCGCCATACAGCGGAAGAAGTTGCCTTTCCCCAGCTGGACGAGTGAGTCACGGGCATGCAATCAAATGTCTTGCTTGTTTACTTGAAATCTTTATTTTTGACAGGCGTGCATGGCTTTGGGAAGTACACTGTCAGCCAACACGTGCCAAAGTAAACACTTTGGGCCTGTCAACCTTGGCGATCTATCCTGTGACAGATTCTTCATACCTGAGGCCGCAACGAATGGTGCGGCAGTTGGCTCAGATCCACGGCTTGTGGAACGCCCAAGTGCAAGATGTGTCTAATGGAAGGCCCTTTTTGCCACAGTCTTGGGCGTTGAGCAGTGAGTGGATCTGGGGGGGGTTCGTTTGTCCGCATGGCTTCCGTGAGGCAATGTCTGCCGTGCAATCTGTCGCAAACGGACCGGTTCCGAAATTGCTCTGGATTCTCGGGGGGGCTTCACGGGTTTGCCTCAAAGTTGGGGGTTCCCAACATGCTTTCCGTCTCTTTGTTTTTAAATCAACCCCTGAAAAACCACCGCACTCATCGTGTGGTTTCACTCGAAGACCGGCAAGGCGTCCCTCCAAAAACATCCGGTGACACTCATCCAGTCCCATGCGATCTGCAGGTGCCACAGGTGCCGCAGGTGCCACAAGTTCCA